TGTCGGGTAAAGACTCTGCATCAAAACTCAGCAGGACATAGTGGGTGCGTTCAAGTGGATCGTTGGTCACCACCTTTCAAAGTGTGTTGCATTATGGTGATAAAAATTGTCCGACTTGCGCCTACATGACTTTATAAAAATCATGTGATCAAAGTTAATGACGATTTGACTTCAGTCGATTGCAAGTTTCTGAAGTTTCTCTTCACCAATTTCATCCTGCAGCCATTGCCTGCCTGCATTGTGGGAGGCTTTGTTGTCAACCAATCATTAGGGTGTTTTTGTGCCAAACAGGAACCAGCTTTGCCGCAATTCATGTAGGCCAATACAGTGGATATGTACAAATTAAGTGATATTTGAGACTCTCTCACCAAATGATTGTAAAATGTACACACATATTTTGGCCACCCCTCAGAGCCTGGTTCCTCTCTAGGTTTCTTCCTAGGTTCCTGCCTTTCTAGGGAGTTTTTCCTAGCCTGCGTGCTTCTACATCTGCATTGCTTGCTGTTTGGGGTTTTAGACTGGGTTTCTGTATAAGCACTGTGACATCTGCTGGGGTTGGAGACATGTTTATTTCGACATTATAAATAACTTATATTAACAATGGCAAGACTGCCATGTTGCACTGAGCCTTGCAGTTGGAAAACCACATCGGTGTTCGACTTTCGGCTGTCGCAGATGCACCTCCCCCGACTTCACACCTCAACTTTTGTCTACAGTCGGTTGCTTTTGCCTTACCACTTAAACGAGCCCAGTTTCTTCTCTATTTCAGAAGGCTCTCCACCAGGTCTGCGTCGCACCAAACCGTGGGTGTCACAGACACCGGGAATCTTTGATTTCAGTTGATCCTTCTCAACATTTAACACCACCCCAGTTATCACTCCTTTCAATGGCACCCTGCTCCAGAGAGCAAAGCAAGTCACAGGTCATGTCCTGTGGTGCGTGGTGCGGAGTGTCCGCTCCCTCTGGGCAGAAGACACACAAAAAAATCATCACAAGTCTGCTTCGAATTACTTTTACTGATTCAACAGTCCCCAACCTCTTCTCCACCAAACCTGACACCACATATGGATCAGCCAGAAGGCAAGGATCCATTCTCTCCAAAAATCTCACTCCCACTTGACGAGGCTCGAACTCGGCGGTCTTCACTGCACCTGCCATCGCAGGTACTGTAATTCATCCTCACTCTTATCAGGGTACATTTCTGAGCTACCGGAGTACATTATTTTATTTTTTTGTACTTGACCCAATCTTCCTCACCACACCACACCGAGTCAATGTGCGGGGGTGCAGCTTAGTCGAGGTAATTTGTACATGTAAGTAGGGGTAAAGTGACTATGCATAGATAATAAACAGCAGTGTAAAAAGAAAGGGGGAGGGGGGGGGGGGGGGGGGTCAATGCAAATATTGTTCAGCAGGCTTATGGCTTGGGGGTAGAAACTGTTAAGGAGCCTTTTGGACCTAGACTTGGTGCTCCGGTACCGCTTGCCGTGCAGTAGCAGAGAGAACAGTCTATGACTTGGGTGACTGGAGCCTTTGACCATTTTTTGACACCGCCTAGTATATAGGTCCTGGATGTCAGGAAGCTTGGCCCCAGTGATGTAATGGGATGTACGCACTACCCTCTGTAGCGCCTTACGGTCGGATGCCGAGCAGTTGCCTTACCAGGCGGTGATGCAACCGGTCAGGATGCTCTCGATGGTGCAGCTGTATAACTTTTTGAGGATCTGGAGACCCATGCCAAATCTTTTCAGTCTTCTGAGGGGGAAAGGTGTTGTCGTACCCTCTTCACAACTTTTTTGGTGTGTTTGGACCATGATAGTTTGTTTGTGATGAGGACACCAAGGACCTTGAAACTCTCAACCCACTCCTCTACAGCCCCGTCAATGTGAATGGGGGCGTGTTCGGCCCTCCTTTTCCTGTAGTCCACGATCATCTCAAATTGTCTTGCTCACGTTGAGGGAGAGGTTGTTGTCCTGGCACCACACTGCCAGGTCTCTAACCTCCTCCCTATAGGCTGTCTCATCGTTGTCGGTGATCAGGCCTACCACCGTTGTTTCGTCAGCAAACTTAATGATGGTGTTGAAGTTGTGCTTGGCCACGCAGTCGTGGGTGAACAGGGAGTACAGTAGGGGACTAAGCACGCACCCCTGAGGGGCCCCCGTGTTGAGGATCAGCATGGCAGATGTGTTGTTGCCTACCCTTATCACCTGGGGCTGGCCCGTCAGGAAGTCCAGGATTGCAGCTGTCTTGTACAGTATGTGCATAACCGGTGTTCTTGTGTAGATTGTCATAGGGTTGTATTCTTAAAACAGGGTCATAATAATCTGCGCAGAATCTCGAACAGCATTGATCACTTGCACTATGTACTTTAATGTAGCCTAATCTCAGCTGCAATCCAGGTCATTTGGTTGTGCTATTAGATGAAGAACAGTGATAACGCATTCAATTGTTGTATAATTACAAAATTCTGACATTGTATTCCCATTTGAACTTTGTTGTGCTTTTAAATGGTTGAAAGCACAGTGATAACACATTTAGATGACAACTAAACCAAAAATCTGATATTGTTTTTCCATTGGAATTTGGTTGTGCTTTTAGATGGTTGAAAGCATAGTGATAACTCTTTGAGAAATTCAACAAACTTCTGGCTGTCTTTTTGAGTGGGCGAATAAAGGTTGAAATCTCATTGATCAACATCTCAACCAAATATTACCACGTTGAAATGACGTGGTGTGCCCAGTGGGTGGTCTCTTGAATTTGCCACCATGTCGCGTCAACACAAAAAACTACCAGCCGCCATTTGCCTATTCCACCAGTTCCCTACGTTCACTAAAAATATCCTTTCAAAAAGAGCAGTTCGTTCACAAACGACCAAAGGCGAAGCGAGTGTCGACTCCGCCCAAAATCTGTCTGCGTGAAAATGAGCGTTAAGCAGACCAAGTGAGGATAATTTTTTTTATGGGGGACAATGAGAGGTTAGAATTTAGTCAAGATAAAAGTGAATTGCTATTTTGATACGTGAGGCTTATTTGATCGAATATAAGTTTCATAATGCTTAGGTTGTTTTATGAGTGTACTGATATAGTTTCAAGTTTTATTAGTCGTATGTACGAGACACCCATGGTATACATCGTCCAATGAAATGCTTCCTTGCAGGTTCCTTCTCGACAATGTAACAACAATAAGAAATAAAATATAAGAATACGAAGATAAAGTAAATGGCAGTAGAATAGAAGAATACATTTTAGCATAGGTATAATACAGGAAGGCACACTTTACAGTCCAATCTTTACACTTATATTGGGGAAGGGGGGATGGGGGGGCAAGTGTGTAAATTGAGCAGAATAATAAGACTCTGGTAGTAGCAATTGTGATGTCTGTGTAGCATGAATGTATACAGTTGGGGGAAAAAGTATTTAGTCAGCCACCAATTGTGCAAGTTCGCCCACTTAAAAAGATGAGAGAGGCCTGTAATTTTCATCATAGGTACACGTCAACTATGAAAGACAAAATGAGATTTTTTTCCCCAGAAAATCACATTCTAGGATTTTTAATGAATTTATTTGCAAATTATGGTGGAAAATAAGTATTTGGTCAATAACAAAAGTTTCTCAATACTTTGTTATATACCCTTTGTTGGCAATGACACAGGTCAAACGTTTTCTGTAAGTCTTCACAAGGTTTTCACACACTGTTGCTGGTATTTTGGCCCATTCCTCCATGCAGATCTCCTCTAGAGCAGTGATGTTTTGGGGCTGTCGCTGGGCAACACAGACTTTCAACTCCCTCCAAAGATTTTCTATGGGGTTGAGATCTGGAGACTGGCTAGGCCACTCCAGGACCTTGAAATGCTTCTTACGAAGCCACTCCTTCCTGCTGAAAGACCCAGCCACGTTTCATCTTCAATGCCCTTGCTGATGGAAGGAGGTTTTCACTCAAAATCTCACGATACATGGCCCCATTCATTCTTTCCTTTACACGGATCAGTCGTCCTGGTCCCTTTGCAGAAAAACAGCCCCAAAGCATGATGTTTCCACCCCCATGCTTCACAGTAGGTATGGTGTTCTTTGGATGCAACTCAGCATTCTTTGTCCTCCAAACACGACGAGTTGAGTTTTTACCAAAAAGTTATATCTTGGTTTCATCTGACCATATGACATTCTCCCAATCCTCTTCTGGATCATCCAAATGCACTCTAGCAAACTTCAGACGGGCCTGGACATGTACTGGCTTAAGCAGGGGGACACGTCTGGCACTGCAGGATTTGAGTCCCTGGCGGCGTAGTGTGTTACTGATGGTAGGCTTTGTTACTTTGGTCCCAGCTCTCTGCAGGTCATTCACTAGGTCCCCCCGTCCAGCCTCCTCTGCCTTATATGTAGCGTAACTGTAGTCTCATGTGACCATCCTTCCAAATCCTGTCTAGCTACTGTAGGTTTAATACAATTCAATCCATTTAAAATCTAGAGCGAGATCCTTCATTTGTATTAATTACACATACTGTCACGACTTCCGCCGAGGCTGCCTCTCCTCCTTGTTCGGGCAGGTTTCGGCATTCGTCGTCACCGGCTTACTAGCTGCTGCCGATCCAATTTATCATCACTCCACTTGTCTTGTCTAATTAATCAGACACCTGGTCCTTATCCCAATTAGTCATTGTATAAGTGTTCCCTCTGCTTCCTTGTCTGTGTGGGTGATTGATTGTAGTGAGCTGTGTGTAGCGACCCTTACCTTGTTGTTGCCAGGGTAGATATTTCCCCTGTGCCCGAGTTTTGTTGTCGCATGCTTGCGCAACTGTTTATCGACAGAATAAACTCTTTGGATGCGTATTACTCTCCTGTGCCTGACTCCTATCACACATACCATGTCTGTCTGTGTTTTACAATGTTGTGAATATAACTCACAACATGGTCTTAAGTGGTTCATTCTCAAATTAGACCTCATCAAAACATGCAATGTTGAATGGAATGAAAAATATATACACAGATCAATTCAACAGACAATTTGGAGCCACATAAAATGCTTTATTTGCAAGAAGGACCAATTATCCAGGTCACAATGCCACTGCATATTCTTGGCACACAAATGGTGTCTGGTATATTGCACTATGGATCCCCAAGTCTGCTGAAGCTAGGCTAAATTTGTCAATGCTGCTTACCATGTTTACTGTGCTCATTGTTGTTAGCAAGTAGTGAAAATATATCATGACTGCCATTTCAGATATTTGTCATGAACCATAATATTTTGCATTTGGGAAGTGCACATTGAGGCATTGGAGGGGAATGTTTAATCATGTAAAGTATTCTCTATTGGCACTCATGCTCTGTGGTAGTAATTGGCTCCAGGTGAGATAGGAGAGAAAGTTATTTCTCACTTCCACACAGGGCCAGTAGGATCTTCTCATAGTCTCCCTGGGTGTCATCCTACGGTGGTAAGAGAGAGCAGAGTTACTCTACAAAATATAAAAGGGCAATCATGTTTAGACATGTCACATCATAATATAAAATTGTATTTAGAAAATCATTTTCAGATGCCATATTTCTTCTATCCAAACTCAGATTGTATAAAGTATTCCAATTTCTGGGTCCAATGTGATGCATGTACTTAACTCAGTGGGTCGGTTTCCCGGACCCCGATTAAGTCAAGTCCTGGATTTAAAACAAATTCTCAATGGAGGATCTCTTTAATTAGATTTTTAGTCCAGGACTATGCTTAATCTGGGTCTGGGAAAACAGTCCCTTGTCTTTTATTGCCACTTTGACAGTGGAGATGTTTGCTCACCAGAATTTCCTGGGAGAGGGTTTTCCCAAATGTCTTCTTGTACTCCTGTTTAATCCGGGCCAGGTCTACTTCAGACCTGCTCACCATGACCCGGGTCAGAATATTGGTCCTGGTTCCTTTACCCTGGGGTATGGCACAGGCACACAAACTGAACATTTATAACCGGATAGTGGAAGCTCCTTAGCCTGAACCCAGATCTGTTTGTGCGGTCTTGTACAGTATGTGCATAACCAGTGTTCTTGTGTAGATTCACATCTTAAAACAGGGTTGTATTCATTAAGTAGAAAAATTGACTAAACAGGGAGGAACTACCAGGATTTGTCCAATAAGAAATGCTCATTTTGTTTTTAAAATGTATTTCTGTTGCGTACCCTAATGATCAAGACCCAGGGCAACTCCTCATCTGGTACATAAAACTTAACAATGTTTAACAGTTAACACACCTTCATTGCCAAGTTGAGTTTCTCAGCAAAGAAAGCAGGCTTGCTTCCAGCACACTTCACTGAAAGACAGAAAGGAAAAACAGTAAGGTGACAACATAGAGCAGCATAGACAAGAAGTGGCATTCTCCAAAGCCATCACGAGGTCGAGGAGGTGGAATCCTAACAAAAACTTGCTTGAAGCCCCCAAAAGGCTAAGGCCCTGACTGGACAGGTGAGATAGGAAAAGGTGTATGGAGAGAGGTATGGTAGGGGGGTTTAAATCAAATAAAATGTTATTTGTCACATGCTTTGTAAACGACAGGTGTAGACTAACAGTGAAATGCTTACTTACGGGCCCTTCCCAACGATGCAGAGAAAAAAATAACAAAGGAATAAATACATAATGAGTAACGATAACTTGGCTATATACACAGGGTACCAGTACAGAGTCGATGTGCAGGGGTACGAGGTAATTTAGGTAAATATGTACATATAAGTAGGGGTAAAGTGACTCGGCAACAGGATAGATAATAATCAGTAGCAGCGTATGTGATGAGTCAGAAGTGTTAGTGCAAAAAAAGGTGAATGCAGATAGTCCGGGTAGCTATTTGGTTAACTATTTAGCAGTCTTATGGCTTGGGGTAGAAGCTGTAGAGGATCCTATTAGTTCCAGACTTGGTGCATCAGTACCGCTTTCTGTGTGGTAGCAGAGAACAGTCTATGACTTGGGTGTCTGAAGTCTTTGACAATTTGTAGAGCCTTCCTCTGACAACGCTTTGTATAGAGGTCCTGGATGGCAGGGACCTCGGCCCCAGTGATGTACTAGGCCAAGCAGTTGCCATACCAATCGAAGATGCAGCCAGTCAAGATGTTCTCAATGGTGCAGCTGTAGAACTTTGAGGATCTGAGGGCCCATGCCAAATCTTTTCAGCCTCCTGAGGGGGAAGAGGTGTTGTTGTCGTGCCTTCTTCACGACTGTGTTGGTGTGTGTGGACCATATTAATTCCTTACGGATGTGGACACCGAGGAACTTGAAGCGCTCGACCCGCTCAACTACAGCCCTGTTGATGTACAGTTGGGAAAAAAAGTATTTAGTCAGCCACCAATTGTGCAAGTTCTCCCACTTAAAAAGATGAGAGGCCTGTAATTTTCATCATAGGTACACGTCAACTATGACAGACCAAATGAGGAAAAAAATTCCAGAAAATCACATTGTAGGATTTTTAATGAATTTATTTGCAAATTATGGTGGAAAATAAGTATTTTGTCAATAACAAAAGTTTCTCAATACTTTGCTATATACCCTTTGTTGGCAATGACACAGGTCAAACGTTTTCTGTAAGTCTTCACAAGGTTTTCACACACTGTTGCTGGTATTTTGGCCCATTCCTCCATGCAGATCTCCTCTAGAGCAGTGATGTTTTGGGGCTGTCGCTGGGCAACACAGACTTTCAACTCCCTCCAAAGATTTTCTATGGGGTTGAGATCTGGAGACTGGCTAGGCCACTCCAGGACCTTGAAATGCTTCTTACGAAGCCACTCTTTCGTTGCCCGGGCGGTGTGTTTGGGATCATTGTCATGCTGAAAGACCCAGCCACGTTTCATCTTCAATGCCCTTGCTGATGGAAGGAGGTTTTCACTCAAAATCTCACGATACATGGCCCCATTCATTCTTTCCTTTACACGGATCAGTCGTCCTGGTCCCTTTGCAGAAAAACAGCCCCAAAGCATGATGTTTCCACCCCCATGCTTCACAGTAGGTATGGTGTTCTTTGGATGCAACTCAGCATTCTTTGTCCTCCAAACACGACGAGTTGAGTTTTTACCAAAAAGTTATATTTTGATTTCATCTGACCATATGACATTCTCCCAATCCTCTTCTGGATCATCCAAATGCACTCTAGCAAACTTCAGACGGGCCTGGACATGTACTGGCTTAAGCAGGGGGACACGTCTGGCACTGCAGGATTTGAGCACCTGGCGGCGTAGTGTGTTACTGATGGTAGGCTTTGTTACTTTGGTCCCAGCTCTCTGCAGGTCATTCACTAGGTCCCCCCGTGTGGTTCTGGGATTTTTGCTCACCGTTCTTGTGATAATTTTGACCCCACGGGGTGAGATCTTGCGTGGAGCCCCAGATCGAGGGAGATTATCAGTGGTCTTGTATGTCTTCCATTTCCTAATAATTGCTCCCACAGTTGATTTCTTCAAACCAAGCTGCTTACCTATTGCAGATTCAGTCTTCCCAGCCTGGTGCAGGTCTACAATTTTGTTTCTGGTGTCCTTTGACAGCTCTTTGGTCTTGGCCATAGTGGAGTTTGGAGGGTGACTGTTTGAGGTTGTGGACAGGTGTCTTTTATACTGATAACAAGTTCAAACAGGTGCCATTAATACAGGTAACGAGTGGAGGACAGAGGAGCCTCTTAAAGAAGAAGTTACAGGTCTGTGAGAGCCAGAAATCTTGCTTGTTTGTAGGTGACCAAATACTTATTTTCCACCCATAATTTGCAAATAAATTCATAACAAGTCCTACAATGTGATTTTCTGGATTTTTTTTTCTCAATTTGTCTGTCATAGTTGACGATGATTACAGGCCTCTCTCATCTTTTTAAGTGGGAGAACTTGCACAATTGGTGGCTGACTAAATACTTTTTTCCCCCACTGTAGATGGGGGCATGCTCAGCCCTCTGTTTCCTGTAGTCCACGATCAGTTCCTTTGTCTTGCTGATGTTGAGGGAGAGGTTGTTGTCCTGGCACCACACTGCCAGGTCACTGACCTCCTCCTTATAGGCTGTCCCATCGTTGTAGGTGATCAGGCCTACCACTGTTGTGTCGTCAGCAAAGTTAATGATGGTGTTGGAGTCGTGCGTGGCCACGTAGTCGTGGGTGAAAAGGGAGTACAGGAGGGGACTAAGCACGCACCCCTGAGGGGCCCCCGTGTTGAGGGTCAGCGTGGCAGATGTGTTGTTACCTACCCTCACCACCTGGGGGCGGCCCTTCCGGAAGTCCAGGATCCAGTTACAGAGGGAGCTGTTCAGTCCCAGGGTCCTGAGCTTACTGATGAGCTTGGAGGGCACTATGGTGTTGAACGCTGAGCTGTAGTCAATGAACAGTATTCTCACATAGGTGTTCCTCTTGTCCAGGTGGGAGAGGTCAGTTTTGAAGTGCAATAGAGATTGAGTCATCTGTGGATCTGTTGGGGCGGTATGCGGATTGGAGTGGGTCCGGGGTGTCTGGGATGATGTGAGCCATGACCAGCTTTTCAAAGCATTTCATGGCTACAGATGCCATTTAGACAGGTTACCTTGGCGTTCTTGGGCACAGGGACTATGGTGGTCTGCTTAAAACAAGTAGGTATTACAGACGGGGTCAGGGAAAGGTTGAAAATGTCAGTGAAGAGACTTACCAGCTGGTACTATGGTCATTTGTTAAGTCAGACATTGGGCTCCATTGTCCTCACACAAATCAGTAATTGGATAATATGAATATGCCTTGGATAATGTGCCGTCACATCTATTTATAAAAAAAGGTATGATTATTTTAGTCTCGAGAGACTAAGGTTATTTTGCTCACAGCGTGTGCCTTTTTTGAATGCAGAAAATGGAGCCCATAGTGTAATGATACAGGACTAAGGCCTAGTGAAGGGTGTGATGCAGCAGAAGACATGGATTGAGGGTGATGCACAGATTATTTGAGGACATTGGAACATTACTAGGCTTGGTCCTGGCTGTGCTCTCTCACCTACGGCAGTGAGACAGTTCTCAATGTCTCCCTTCAGTTCCAGGTCAATAGCCTTTGCCACATCCACCTTACTGTACTTGGAGTACCTCTCAAACGCTGAGAGAAAGAGAGAGTGGGAAAGGATTATTTACTTGAAATGCTCATACAGTATCAATCATGTGTGTTTGCACATTCAGTTTATGAAAAAGGAAAAACCCCACACACATCTAGATTCTATTAGTATTTGTGGTGTGTTGACCAAAAGTAACATGCTATGAATAAAAAGAAGCTCCACACTCAGATATTTGCAGTGAAAAAATGTATGTGTTTAAAACAAAATCTGGACAAATGTTGTTGCGCCCGAATTAATGAACACAAGGGTGTCAAAAAATGTTTGCGGGTTGCAGTCGGTCTTCACCGAGGTTCGGCGGGCCGCACTTAATCTATCACTTTTAGAATTTCCGATGCTCCCTGACGGTTTAGCTTTCGTTTCGATGACTGTTAGTAAGCTGGACAGAGTGAAGAGACTATGAATGTAGGTCCATTATAATTTATACACAGTTTCGATTTGGTTTTAGTCATTTAAAATGTTTTCCCCTAAATAAAATAACCCCCCACCCCCAAAAATAAAAACCCCCAAAGAACCCACAGGCCGGATTGAACGGGCTCGTGGGCCGTATGTTTGACACCCCTGGTCTAACTGATGACAAAAACAAAGCACACTATAGGGCTACAACATAATTAACAGGTGGTGAGAAAAGCGATAGTGTAAGCTTATTGGGCAATGTCTTATTTACCAAATATGTGTATACATTTGCAGTGTGTGTGTGTTATATATATATATATATATTCACCTTGGCGGAGCTGAGGAGCACTTCTGGTGGTCAGAATGTCTATGAAGACAGAGCAGTCGGTTCCTTTCTTCTTCTCTCCAGCCTCATACAGGGCCTATAGACAGATACAGTAGGCACAGGCATCACACACACACACACAGTGTTTGCATTACCACATTGACTCTTTGCGGTGCCCAATGTTGATTTCTTAAATTCTGACACACACACACACACACACACCCCCTCTCCTCCATACCCTGGCATCACGGTCAGCAAGTTCCTGGTTCACCATGGTGTCCTCATTCCTAGTAGCCTACAGTATTCGAGTGAGAGAGAGGGGGGGGGGGGGAGTGAGGTTAATTGTGCCAAACTATTTATATTTAAACAAACTATAAATAACACACACACACACACACACACACACCTTGCAGAGCGAGAGCAGAGCATTCCTGAAGTCTGCGCCTGTGTCAGACTTGATGTCATCCTCTAGCTCCTTTTTGTATTCTAGCAATAAAAATGTCATTATTATTGGTTCGTTGTAAATATCACATCACATACAGGACATTTACATAGACATATTTACATATTGCGGACACACCTTCCTTATAGGCTTTCTTTATCTCTCTGATCTCCTTATTGGTCCTTGAGGCCAGAATCTCAACCAGAGTATCCTCGTCTGTGCCCAATCCCTGAGCGAGAGAAGGCGAGAGGGGAGGGGTGTGAATTGTCAACAAGGACAAAAGGGTCAGGTCACATCAGTCATAAAGCTGAGACAAAAGAGTCCAGGATGGGATAACACAAACAGACAGTGCAGGGCCGTGTTAATTATGCCCCAAACGGAACAAAACACACTGAAACATGGAGGGACTACCTGCACTTGTTCAATAACAGCTTATTTTCGGGTCTACCGCTATACCAGACACCTCGCACACACTGCACATCGAGAAACCTAAAGTACAGTAGGTACTCGTCAGCATTTTTCTCACAGTCTCCTCACATATTAAAACAGTACCACCCATTGTAAAAGTCCCAGCTTTTTGCCTCTCCCACAACACAGTGTAATAATACATCAGAATGAGTCACTCTGGGCTGAATGTGAGGAAGTGGGTGTGACTAAGCAGCAGACCAAGAATACAGGATGATGACGGCACACCTTCCTCTTTAGAACTGATTCATTACTCTTTAAATATTTGTATTCTATCTGTTACCGTCTCTAGGCCTACACAAACAAGAGGGAATCTGCACAGTTGTTTGTATTCTAAGTAGTAGTGTATATTCAGAGTTATAGTCAGTGACTAGGTGCGTGCATGTTTACCTTCATGGCCAGTTTGAGCTGTTGGGCGTCATATTGGGCTGGCGTTTTGAGCAGAGCCAGAACCACATCCTCCAGCTCTCCCTTTAGGGCCGACATCAGGGCAGTCTCCAGAGGCTGCAGAGAGAGAGAGGTGATACACACTTCCACAGTCATACACAAGTGTGTGTGTTTTAGGCTGGAGTTTGCACGTTTGTCCTAAAGTGCCAACTCCACCCACCCGCTGCACATGCTAAACCAAACACAACCAATGTGCTGGTAAGTTTGTGTGTGTCACATCTTACCTTGCCGCTAGCCTTTTCGTAGGTAGCTTTGATCTGCTGTCTCTGGGCGTTGCTCCTCCTCACCAGCACATCAATGATGGTGTTCTCATCCACACCTACAGCACAGATACATGGAGGGACTTGTTCAAAAAGAAACGCTGTTGCGTACATAGCCTAATCCATGAGGTAACCCTGACTACTCACCAGCAAGAAACAATGAAAACACTGACCCGGACATGTTCACACTAGTGTTGTCACGATACCAGATGTTTTACTTCGATATCGATACCAGGTTTAGTATCACGATACTCAATACCGAAACGATACTCTATCCCAAAACGATACTCAATACCACGGATACCCCTTATGGCTCAGTTGGTAGAGCATGGCGCTTGCAACGCCAGGGTTGTGGGTTTGATTCCCACAGGGGACCAGTAAAAAAGAAAAAAATAAGTATGAAAATGTATGTACTCACTACTGTAAGTCGCTCTGGATAAGAGCGTCTGCTAAATGACTAAAATGCAGAAAGCGTATTAGCTAAAGTCATAACCACTGGGCGTAATTATTATTATTTTTAAACATTGAATAATAAATAACTGGTAGAACTAAAATAACAAATAGAATATCTTCAAATTTCTTTATGCAAAACCATATGATACTTTTTTATACATTTCAGGGTTAATTTGCTCATCTAGGGCCATATTAGGTCAAATGACATCCATTAGCCCAATGATTCATTATAGCTAAAATAATTGTATGTATTAAATGAATAGTTGAGTTCCAAAACGACAAACAAAAAAACACTTTGAAGCTCATTTCTGAAGCTTCTATATTGCAATAGTCTACTACACACTACAGAAATATAATGGATTTTACACAGCATACTACGATTCCCAGAGTGCATTTCACATCCCATGGTGCAATGCTCCGCCCAGGGCTGCAGTAGTCTAAATATATTGCTGTCACGTTATGAGTGCCTTTCATATTACTTTTGGGTTGTAAGCATACTATAATGCCCACATTAATGTCATGTTGAATATACTGTACACCCCTTCAAATTACTGGATTCGGCTATTTCAGCCACACCAGTTGCTGACAGGTGTATAAAATCGAGCATACAGCCATAAAATCTCCATAGACAAACATTGGCAGTAGAATGGCCTTACTGAAGAGCTCAGTGACTCAACGTGGCACAGTCATAGGATGCCACCTTTCCAACAAGTCAGTTCATCAAATGTCTGCCCTGCTAGAACTGCCCCGGTCAACTGTAAGTGCTGTTATTGTGAAGTGGAAACGTCTAAGCGCAACAGACTCAGCCGCATAGTGGTAGGCCACACAAGCTCACAGAACGGCTGGAGTGGTGTAAAGCTCACCGCCATTGGACTCTGGAGCAGTGGAAACAAGTTCTCTGGAGTGATGAATCACGCTTCACCATCTGGCAGTCCGACGGACAAATCTGGGTTTGGCGGATGCCAGGAGAAGGCTACCTGCCCCAATGCATAGTGCCAACTGTAAAGTTTGGTGGAGGCGGAATATAGTCTGGGGCTGTATTTCATGGTTCGGGCTAGGCCCTTTAGTTCCAGTGAAGGGAAATCTTAACACTACAGAATACAATTACATTTTAGAAGATTCTGTGTTTCCAACTTTGTGGCAACAGTTTGGGGAAGGCCCTTTCCTGTTTCAGCATGACAATGCCCCCATGCACAAAGCGAGGTCCATACAGAAATGGTTTGTCGAGATCGGTGTGAACTTGACTGGCCTGCACAGAGACCTGACCTCAACCCCATCGAACACCTTTCGGATGAATTGGAACGCCGACTGCGAGCCAGGCCTAATCGCCCAACATCAGTGCCCGACCTCACTAATCCTCTTGTGGCTGAATGGAAGCAAGTCCCCGCAGCAATGTTCCAACATCTAGTGGAAAGCCTTCCGAGAAGAGTGGAGGCTGTTATAGCAGAAAAGGGGGGACCAACTCCATATTAATAGCCATGATTTCAGAATGAGATGTTCGACAAGAAGGTGTCCACATACTTTTGGTTATGTAGTGTATGTTCATGTCATTGTCACTCAAATTATTCAAATTGAGTTGCTAGTAGACTAACGTTACAATGCAAATGTCATGTGTAAAATAGTTTGTCGTTTTGGAACTAAACCTCCTTTGCACTGCACCGCTTTATAACACATTTTTCTCAGTTGTTTCAGTGGGCTGGCCCTCGTCTGCTCTGTAAGCAAAGCATTCCAATAGTTCGCTTCTGCAGCCAGGTTTGTCAACAAGCTGCAGGCGTGGAGGTATGATGTTTTTGTTAGAAGAAGCCATGCCGTCAGCATTTTCTCTTTCCCCCTCGTTTCTTCTCAAAAGTGGCTCACGCTGTGTCAGCTGCATGCGCAAGTAGCCTGGTTAGCTACTGCCCCCTTGAGAAGATTCAGACAAATTACGAGACAGACTCGATCCTCTCAATACGTATATAACGTGAGACATTTTACAGAAATACAGAAAACAACAAAACACAGCACCGAGCCGTTTTTTCATGTTCCAATATCGGAAAAAGTACCGAAGTGTCGGTATACCGTGCAACACTATACACATGCTCACATTCCCTCTCAGAATGTCACCCTATGCTGCCTCATGTTACACACAGAGTTATGTTCAACTGAGCTGCTCTGCTATGAACAGGGGTGAAAGTAAGCCGGAACGGTTCGGTAGTACCGCCAAAATAAATAGTGGGGGTACGCATTACCGGTAAACCATGACTATCTAAGCCAGTAAATGGGGCTTTACTATTCTTAGGTAGCAGAATGACTTTTGCTTCCCTCCAAGCCTGGGGGCACACACATTCTAGTAGGCTTAAATAAAAAATATGGCAAATAGGAGTGGGAATATCGTCTGCCATTATCCTCAGTAATTTTCCATCAAGTTGTCAGACCCTGGTGGCTTGTCATTGTTGATAGACAACAATAATATTTTCACCTCTTCCACACTCACTTCACGGAATTCAAAATTACAAGGCTTGTCTTTCATAATTTGGTCAGATATACTTGGATGTGTAGTGTCAGCAATTGTTGCTGGCATGTCATGCCTAAGTTTGCTAATCTTGCCAATGAAAAAATCATTAAAGTAGTTGGCAATATCAGTTGGTTTTGTGATGAATGAGCCTTCTGATTCAATGAATGATGGAGCTGAGTTTGCCTTTTTTCCCAAAATTTCATTTAAGGTGCTCCAAAGCTTTTTACTATCATTCTTTATGTCATTTATCTTTGTTTCCTAGTGTAGTTTCTTCTTTTTATTCAGTTTAGTCACATGGTTTCTCAATTTGCAATACGTTTGCCAATCATTGTTGTGCAGCCAGACTTATTTGCCATTCCTTTTCCCTCATCCCCCTCAACCATACCATTTTTCAATTCTTCATCAATCCACAGGGATTTAACAGTTATGAACTGTAACTCAGTAAAATCTTTGAAATTGTTGCATGTTGTGTTTATATTTTTGTTCAGTGTAGAGTTCAAGAAAAACTGTAGGCTATTACACTATCATTACCGCATGTCAGTCGTGTGAAACATTTGCAAATAGACTTCAACACATGCTCTAAAATGCAATGTGGTTGTACATAACACTGACATTTTGTCAAGGCAGAGATGAGTGGCCAGAGACGCGCGCAGACAGCAGCGTACGGATCAATTCAGGTTACAAGACTGTAGGCCTAATGAATGACAATCCACGAATGTCATTCATAACACTTTTTGGTGTTTTGAAAGTGATATCTCTTTGCATTTATCAAATGGCACTGTATGGATGCCGGAATTATTTTAGACTGGAGTAGCCTAATAGTTGGAATAGTAACTGAAGAATGGACACTGACTGTAGGCCTCACATGTAGCCTATTATAATATTAACTTCTGCAGAATTAAGTGGTCCTCGCAGTAAAATGATAGACCAAATGTAAATTGTCTCAGGAACAGGAGTGGAGAAATATGCGCGGTTAGGGACCTGTTGTGTAGCCTAAACGTGCAATTTCTTTCAGTGACATAAAAGCTGACAGTATTTTATTTTCAACCCAATATGCATCCAAGACTAACTGAAATACTATCAGAAACATGTTGGATCGTTTTCACAGCTTTTCATTTCTTTTAAACCAGTCAAACTGATGTCATTTGGAAATCTCCCTTGTCCCTAAACATCCTCTCTCCATGAGAGAAGCAGAGATTAAAAAACTTTAGATGTCAACTAGATTGTTGATGAAACATTGATCTTTCTCTCGATATGACATTCTGGTGAGCAAGGCTTTATTTAGTGTTCTAGACAAGCATCAAGTAATAACAGAAGATAAGCTGCATGTATCTAATTATAGACAAGTTGACAAAATAGCCTACCAAATGTCGGAAATTATAAGCAGAAAAATATCTAAATGAGGCTTCAAAACTATTTTTTTCCCCACACCCTATCGTTCAGCTGTCCCTGAGCAACGTGCTCAGGTAGCCTATGTGAGCCTTTGAAGTAATTGTTTGAAAATCAGAGACAAACATCATGACTGGTTGTGTTTATGCCACATTATAAAAGGTAGGCTAATACATTTTAAAAAGTTAAACAACAAATCTTTAGTACTAGGCCCAAAGAGATCCTATTAAGTTAATAAGGATTCTATATGCAATTCTATGATTAGGCCCATAAAATAAAACAAATATGAAAGCACTTTTTGATATTTTACATCAAGTAAATTCACAAAAGACCCCAGTCCTGCTGGCCTCACTGGATGCTGAGAAAGCGGTCGACAGGTTGGAGTGGAGCTTTCTGTTCTCAGTCTTCTAAAAGTTCAATATGGGCCCAAATGTTATGAAATTGATTAAGTCCCTATATTCTCATCCAAATGCCATGGTGTATACTAATGGTCTGAACTCTGACAGATTCTCTTTGGGATGTGGCACAAGACAAGGATGCTCGCTGTCCCCTCTGCTCTACTTGTTGGGGACATAGCCTTTGGTGGAGTTGATAAGGAGCAATCCAAGTATTATGGGTGTTTCCGAAGGCGGCCTTCAGCACTAGATTTCGTTCTATGCGGATAATGTCTTGCTCTACATATCCAACCCTGAGAAATCCCTTCCTCCTATTTTAGACAATTGCTCAGTACGGCAGGTTTTCAGGGTATGTTTGCCCTTTCAAGCTTACATTCGCCAGCTCTATGAATACACTCTGCCTGTTCCAATGGAAGACACAGGGGTTTCAATACCTTGGAATCTTTGTAACACCAGATCTGAATTGCCTTTTCAAAGAAAACTACCTCCCACTCCTGGATCGAATCATTAGTAAAGATTTTTTCAATCTTTACTAATGACATGCCACTGGCTTTGAGTAAAGCAAGAGTGTCTATGTATGCGGATGACTCAACATTATACATGTCAGCTACTACAGCGACTGAAATGACTGCAACACTTAAAGAGTTGCAGTTAGTTTCAGAATGGGTGGCAAGGAATAAGTTAGTCCTAAATATTTCAAAAAACTAAAAGCATTGTATTTGGGACAAATCATTCACTAAACCTCAACTAAATAATGTGGAAATTGAGCAAGTTGAGGTGACTAAACTGTTTGGAGTAACTCTGGATTGTAAACTGTCATGGTCAAAACATTGATACAACAGTAGCTAAGATGGAGAGAAGTATGTCCATAATAAAGCGCTGCTCTACCTTCTAAACAGCACTATCAACAAGGCAGGTCCTACAGGCCCTAGTTTTGTCAGGTGCCACAAAAAAGGACTTAGGAAAAGTATTAATAATATGCATGTAAATCTCTCCTGGCTCAAAGTGGAGGAGAGATTGACTTCATCACTACTTGTATTTCTGAGAGGTATTGACATGTTGAATGCACCGAGCTGTCTGTTTGAACTACTGGCGCACAGCTCGGACACCCATGCATACCCCACAAGACATGCCACCAGAGGTCTCTTCACAGTCCCCAAGTCCAGAACAGACTATGGGAGGCGCACAGTACTACATAGAGCCATGACTACATGGAACTCAATTCCACATCAAGTAACTGATTTAAAAAACAGATTTAAAAAAACACCTTATGGAACAGCGGGGACTGTGAAGCAACAAACATAGGCACAGACATGCATACACACACGATAACATACACACTATACACACATGTACACATGGATTTTGTACTGTAGATACGTGGTAGTGGTGGAGTAGGGGCCTGAGGGCACACAGTGTGTTGTGAAATCTGTGAATGTATTGTAATGTTTTTTAAATGGTATGAACTGCCTTAATTTTGCTAGACCCCAGGAAGAGTAGCTTATGCCTTGGCAGCAGCTAATGGGGATCCATATTAAATACAAATTATCTCTGAACCTGGATCTCCCTCCCAATTAGCTTAGTTGGTAGAATAAATGCTCTCTGTATGAACATCCTCCCTAGATTGAACTTTTTGTTTCAGATGCTCCCATGCCATCTCCCAGTTTTCTTTTTTCAAAACAACCAACCAAAGCATCACCAAATGTATATGGGATAATAAAAAAACCTAGTATCAAGTTCTCCACTCTGTCGAAACCTAAGGGTGGTCTGCCTTCAGTTGTACTATTGGTCTGCCCAAATCCGGAACATGTATCACAAACAGACAAGACTCAAAGTGGGTTCAAATAGAGGCCCAATCCTGTGGTTCATTGCCCCTAAGAATTATATTAATTAATGACTTTAGTGAAGTGGGCAACATACCCAAAACCTTTGTGATTTACAACACCCTACTAGCATGATAAGACTGCAAGAAATACCTTGGCATTTCCTCCCAGATAGGCTCTCACTCACCTATAGTATGCAAACAAGACTTGCCAAAAGCCCTGAGTGATGCCAACATTAATCTGTGGCATACTCTAGGGATCAGGATCCAGATTCACAAAACAAGAAGAAATGTCTTAAGTGTATAGTTAAGGAAAAAATGGCAGTTAAGAAGAAAGTTAAGCAAAGTTGCTATTCCTCAAAAAAGGTTATTGGAAATTTTCTTGCGCTAATTCTTATATTTCTCCTTAAGCAAAAAGTTAAGAAATTAGATTCTTGAAAACAAAGTTATTGGAAATGTTCTTAATTCCAAAATTGCTAAACCCTAGTCTCAAACTCAGGGCAGTGAGAGAAAAAGCTCATGAAAGCAATTGAACATGTTTAAAATCACTCAAACTTCATCTGAAAGTTTCAGTATTTATTATTTTAAACCCAAGAACATGTTTTAGAACAGTAATCTCAGTAAGAAATATGCTAACATGATTGCCATTGCAAGCTAAAACTATTGCCTAGCAACAAACATCTTAAGAAGATCTGTAAGAATAAATTTGATAAGTTCGTAATAAAATAATTACATCTTAAGATATTGTTGAGGAATTGCACTTACGAACTGTCTTAAGAAGCTTCTTACGTTTTTGCGTCAGAAGTGTTTTGTGACTCTGGGCCCATGACATTTTCAGACCTGTTTCATCAGAACACAACTACACTGAAATCCTTTCAAGAGCTCTGCAGTGAATTCAATGTGCCAATATCAATTATATTTTCAAATTAGACATGTAATTTCCTCATTCACTTCCAAGGGGAGGTTTTGAGCTCAGCTCAATGAAGTTGAGACCGTTCTTGCTACAGCACAATCCATCAAAGGCAAAATCTCCCATATCTATAGGCTCTTATCCGAGAATGTGGGCTCCTCCTTTCCTCCTTCGAAAATAATCTGGGAAAGGACCTTTGTCTGACTATCAGTGATGAGTTATGGGTGGATGTTTGCAACAGGGTATACTGCTCCTCTACTAATATAAATATAAAAAATAAGAATCTAATTACACATTTTTGTACACCCCAGTGAGACTCCATGGAATGAATACAGACATTTCTCCTGATTGTAAAAAGTATTCAGACCCCTTGACTTTTTCCACATTTTGTTACGTTACAGTCTTATTCTAAAATGGATTAAATTGTTGTTTTTTCCCCCTCAATCTACACACAATATCCCATAAAGACAAAGCAAAAACAGGTTTAGACTTATTTGTAAATTTATTTTTATTTTTTAACTACTGAAATATAACATTTACATAAGTATTCAGACCTTTTACTCATTACTTTGTTGAAGCACCTTTGGCAGCGATTACAGCCTCGTGTCTTCTTGGGTATGACGCTACAAGCTTGGCACACCTGTATTTGGGGAGTTTCTCCCATTCTTCTCTGCAGATCCTCTGAAACTGTCAGGTTGGATGAGGACGTCACTGCACAGCTATTTTCAGGTCTCTCCAGAGATGTTAGATCGGATTCAAGTCCGGGCTCTGGCTGGGCCACTCAAGGACATTCAGAGACTTGTCCCGAAGCCACTTCAGCATTGTCTTGGCTGTGTGCTTAGGGTGATTGCCCTGTTCGAAGGTGAACCTTCACCCCATTCTGAGGTCCTGAGCGCTATGGAGCAGGTTTTCATCAAGGATCTCTCTACTTTGCTCCGTTCATCTTTCCCTCGATCCTGACTAGTCTCCCAGTCCCTGCTGCTGAAAAATATCCCCAGAGCATGATGCTGCCACCACCATGCTTCACTGTAGGGATGGTGCCAGGTTTCCTCCAGACGTGATGCTTGGCATTCAGGTTTCATCAGACCAGAGATCTTGTTTCTCATGGTCTGAGAGTCTTTAGGTGCCTGTTGGCAAACTCCAAGCGGGCTGTCATGTACCTTTCACTGTGGAGTGGCCACTGTTCTTGGGGACCCCAAATGCTGCAGAAATTTTTCGGTACCCTTCCCCAGATCTGTGCCTCGAATTTACTTCATGTGGACTCCAATCAAGTTGTGGAAACATCAAGGATGATCAACGCAAACATGACGCACCTGAGCTCAATTTCGAGTCTCATAGCAAAGGGTCTGAATACTTTTGTAAATAAGGTATCTATTATTTTTTTTATTTTCAAAAATTTCTAAAAACCAGTTTTCGCTTTGTCATTATAGGGTATTGTGTGTAGAGTGATCAGGAAAAAAGCTGTAACGAAATGTGGAAAAAGTAAAAGGGTCTGAATACTTTCCGAATGCAATCAGGGCACTGTGTCTGAATACTTTCTGAATGCAATCAGGGCACTGTAGAGAGATTACCAGATTTTGGCAATCTATACATACTGCTGCATTGACAATATTAGATATACAGTTTGAAATGACCCCGTGTCTATCTTCTTAATGCTCAGCAGGACTTTGTTCTTGATACAGACAGAGAATATTTGTTTATGACTATCACATACTTTGCTACTTTCACCCCTAGCTATGTAACACACACACACATATACTTTGTTGAGTGCATGAGTGTGAGTGTGTGTATATATATGTCAATCTCACCTTTGGCCTTGATGGCCTTATCCAAGATGCCTACATCTCCATCGACACTGAAATGCGGGTAAGGAGTCACAGTGCCCTGATTGGGTAAGGTCTGGGAGCGAGAGAGAGAGAACACTTAGCTGCCATGCAGTGAATTAATGAATACCTTCACAAAATCCAGAACAATAGTATAGAAGCAAAGGAAGGAACAGCCCATACAAGGAATATGTTAACAAGGGGAAAGAGCAGGAATTGTGCAGTTTTTCCCCCCCGGTTTCAACTGTTTCTGAAGGGAAGGGCTCCTACTCCTAAATTCCTTCTATGAGTCACAAGTTAAGTATGCTCATCCCTCTCTCCTCCCATGACTTTGTATCTCTCAGACTCTGACCCTCTCTTTCTTTATCCTCAACATCATCACTTTTGCTCTCACTATTCTCTGTCCCCCCCAAATGTACAAACACGGCCTGGTAAGTTTTTCCACACATGCATACCACAAGAGGGGGGGAAAAAGAGCAGATTTGAGGCGTTCCCTCTAGAAAGTGGAACAGAACCCTACCGAGTCATCGGGCAGGCCCAGATAGACGGTCTGCTGCAAGAAGGCTGCGATGAATGACATGGTGGCACAGGTCTGCAGAGAGAGGAATACGGGGATTCAGTAATAACCACAGTATTAATAATATCCTTTGTATTGAACACAAAGGCCTTTTGCATTTCTGAGTGTGACATGATGAGAGATGAAAGGCTCTTTCTTTGTTGCCAGAATATGCTACAGTACCAGGGCACCATATTTGGTGAAATTATATTTCAGTGGACTCATCCCCAACACAACCTCATGCACTTTTTATGCCTCAATGAATGTGGTAGAAAAAAAAGATTAGCCTATGACTGCCACCTACATAGGATAATCATCATTACATAGACTAAAAGTAAACATGCATAGAACAACTGGATAAAATTCGTGTTTATGAGGCTGGACAGATTATTTATTTGTCACTGCAGAACAATTTGCCTCCATCTATTTCACAATGGTATGGCAAAAATCTGGTGTTGACCACGCCTAGAACTGGAATCATGTGGAACTCGATCCAAAACTTTAACCATTAAGTAAATTTTACTTAATTAGTTCACAATGGTTTTCAAGACATAACAGGATTCGCAAATATAAAATTATGAATCAAAATAATTATTAAATGTCCCTACTACGCCAGCCACACACACTTTGGCTACCTAAGCGACAAACAAACAATGATGTAGGCTATGTACGGTAAAGTTCCTTGATACGTTTAAAACTCCCGAAAAATAGATACATTAACAAATTACTGTTACCTAGGGTCGATGTCGCGGTGCTCAATTTCCTGGAGTAGGTTTATTGAATCAAAAATAGGATATTTTACCAGCTGCCCAAAGATAGGGACTAGAAAACTTTCTCAGACTGAGCTTGGAGGGCGTTGTGAAGTTGCGCTCATGTATTTATATAGCTACAGGATAAACCCCACCTAGTAATGTGCATCCCACACTCTCGCTACACCACCATTGGACTGGCACTACTGGTTGCGAGACCGCGGAAAAGTTTCCATGCAGTGCAATAAAGTCGCGTCAGTCAAGTAGAAAAAACCCGAAAAACCTGACACAATGTGGTTAAATGAAAACAGTTGTGGAATGTTCAGTTACCCTCTTTAGTTGATGTTAACAAATTACACTATGAATTGAGAGGTAAAAATAGATTTCTTAAACCATGTTTCCATCCAGTGTTTTATGTGAGTAAAACAAATCAAGACAGGTCTGATGGAAACAGGAAGTTTAGGTAAAATGTTATAATTGCCGACAGATCATTTGTATGTTCAACATGGTGGGATCTGTTTGTGTCGGTAAAATTAATTATGCGAGAAATGGCGGTGGAAAGGACTTGATGCGCAACTATAATATAACAACTATAAATAATATCAAAGTAAAAGTCACGAGATGATATGGTGTGTGGTCCTTCCACTAGGACGACCACTAGGACTCGAGAAACCATGCAGTTTATTAGACTACAAATGAAGTTATGATGAACTTCAACAGTGGAGGCTGCTGAGGGGAGTACAAGTCTACAAAACTTAGTTCAGTTTGTTCATAACATTTTCTAGTTTTGGGAACAGTAAACTGTATTGAGATCAAATGTTTAATCGGTGAGAAAATGTGCAGCATGTCGGCCAAAATCCATCTCATTCCATCTTCTCCCACTGCCGGCCAGTGGGCGTCACATTTTCAGGTGAAATATCTGTCTCATTGTTCTATCTGCGATAACGATGTCGGTTTGATTGAGGCATTAGGCTATGAAAGTTTTGCCTCTGGGAGTGCAATTGAGCCAAAAGGGGTTTCCTTAAAGGTGCAATATGCAGAAATCACTCCGCCATTTCCTGGTTGCTAAAATTGTAATAGTTCGCCTAATTTCAGTTTATGTGACAAAACAAGCAATATATAGTGTAAGTAATCATTGTACCATCCTAACCACTGTGAAATATCTTTTCAATAACCAAAAATATTGTATTTTCAGCTATTTAAAGCTGGTGTACAAAACCGAAAGTAAAAGACGCAAAAACAAAACATAAGAATGGGAAGCATAGAAATAGCGCACATACAGTAGAACAGATCTACCGCTTCTTAGACTTGCTTTCAATGAGAATGACAGATCTATAACACACATTTCTATGTGAATTTGGTCGGGTCGCCCAAAAAGTTTCATATTGCAGCTTTAAAGGGGCATTATGGGGTTGATAGTTCCATTTTTTTGATTTTGTAATTAATCATATTATTACAAATTCCCTGCCGGTGACTGTTATTCACACCTCATAACCCTGAGCTGCACACTCCACTCCCCATCCCCCACGACCGGAGCCTGAGAGTCTAGTGGTTACCATAAACCTGCCTCTCAAATCAAATCAAATGTATTTATAAAGCCCTTTTTACATCAGCAGACGTCACAAAGTGCTATACAGAAACCCAGTCTAAAACCCCAAACAGCAAGCAATGCAGATGTAGAAGCACGGTGGCTAGGAAAAACTCACTAGAAAGGCAGGAACCTAGGAAGAAACCTAGAGAGGAACCAGGCTCTGAGGGGTGGCAAGTCCTCTTCTGGCTGTGCCGGGTGGAGATTATAAAAGTACATTGCCATTAAGGCCAGATTGTTCTTCAAGATGTTCAAACGTTCATAGATGACCAGCAGGGTCAAATAATAATCACAGTGGTTGTAGAGGGTGCAACAGGTCAGTACCTCAGGAGTAAATGTCAGTTGGCTTTTTTCATAGCCGAGCATTCAGAGGTCGAGACAGCAGGTGCGGTAGAGAGAGAGAGTCGAAAACAGCAGGTCCGGGACAAGGTAGCACAAACTCCCCCTGACTTTTGTGAGCTTTTTCAGGATATGTTGCTAGGAAGGTTGCTAGGGGGCCGGACATCTGCTCATCCTCTTGACCATACAGGTCACACAATACTTGCAGTCTCCCTCAAGCAGTGGCAGAGAGCAACGTCTATGTCTCTGCACATCAACAACTGGACTCACTCATATCTCTGGACTTGTAGGATGGTGTTTGTGCCCAAAGTGAGTTGTGTGATGTATATATTGTTCTTAACAGTTAGTTGTTACTAACGTTGAATGCTGCCTTTGTGTATAGCTGTATTGTAATATGTGCAGGTAGACTCAATCATGGACACTCTTACTGACAGTTGTGGCTGCTTCGCGTGATGTATTGTTGTCTCTACCTTCTTGCCCTTTGTGCTGTTGTCTGTGCTCAGTACCATGTTTTGTGCTGCTACCATGTTGTGTTGCTACCATGCTATGTTGTCATGCTATGTTGTTGTCTTAGGTCTCTCTTTATGTAGTGTTGTGGTGTCTCTATAATAATAATAATAATATGCCATTTAGCAGACGCTTTTATCCAAAGCGACTTACAGTCATGCGTGCATACATTATTTTTTTTGTGTATGGGTGGTCCCGGGGATCGAACCCACTACCTTGGCGTTACAAGCGCCGTGCTCAACCAGCTGAGCTACAGAGGACCACAATACTGTCGGGACAGAGCCCGAGTGGTCTCCGGCGACACGGTGATGTGTGTTTTGTCCCATACTTTATTTATTTATTCATTTTTTATCCCAGCCCCCGTCCCCACAGGAGGCCTTTTGCCATTTGGTAGGCCGTCATTGTAAATAAGAATTTGTTCTTAACTGACTTGCCTAGTTAAATAAAGGTCAAATTAAAAAATACAAATAAAAGAAGAAGCTGGATGTGGGGGTCCTGGGCTGCATGGTTACACGTGGTCTGCGGTTGTGAGATCGGTTGGACATACTGCCAAATTCTCTAAAACGACGTTGGAGGCGGCTTGTGGTAGAGAAATTAACATGAAATTATATGGCAACAGCTCTGGTGGACATTCCTGCAGTCAGCATATCAATTGCATGTTCCTTCAAAACTTGAGACATCTGTGGCATTGTGTTGTGTGACAAAACTGCACATTTTAGATTGGCCTTTTATTGTCCATAGCACAAGGTGCACCTGTGCAATGATAATGCTGTTTAATCAGCTCCCAGACAAATATGATGGGTCTCCATTCAAATGCCTTGGCTTCCTACTCCAGTGCTCCCTCCATCACTCATCAGATGGGAGCTCCCACCACCGAGAGGTCCAAGGTTGCCACGGTTATTTCCCTGCTGACCGGACGGGCGTTGGAGTGGGCTACGGCTATCTGGGAGAGAGGAGGAGCTGGGTTCCTATGAGGGGTTCATGACTCTGTTCAGGGGGTCTTTGACCATCCGCTCCAACTACGGCAGGCTGGCCAGACCACGGCGGAGTAAGCGCTCACCGTTCGGACAGTAGCAGCATCCAGCAGCTGGAATGAGCCGGCGCTCTGCACCCTATTCAGAAGAGGATTGCACAAAGAGGTCCAGATGGCATTGGCATCTCGAGATGACAATTTTACCTTGGACTCACTCATCGCGATGGTCATCCGTCTGTATAACCTTATTCGGGAGCGTCAGTACTCCCATTGCCTCTCTCCCTCCTTTGTTGACTGTTCTGAATCAGAGCCTGAACCCATGGAGGTAGGGGCCACACCGTGTCGCCGGAGACCGCTCGGGCTCTGTCCCTATTGCGGCCAAGAGGGGCACTAGCTTTAGTGGTGTCGGTTACGCCTTAACCCGGGGTCCACTAGAGCAGAGGGGCGTCCCCGTGACCTTCCATTTCCCAGGGTTGGCGTGAGTAGCCCATTTTCATTTTTTTCTGCCAAACCCTTTACGGTTCCTATTACGCTGGCTGTCGCTCAAGTGTTGTCTCTACAGTCGTGGTCAAACGTTTTGAGAATGACACAAGTATTGGTCTTCACAAAGTTCGCTGCTTCAGTGTTATGAGATATTTTTGTCAGATGTTACTATGGTATACTGAAGTATAATTACAAGCATTCCATAAGTGTCGAAGGATTTTATTGACAATTACATTAAGTTTATGCAGAGTCAATATTTGCAGTGTTGACCCTTCTTTTTCAAGACCTCTGCAATCCACCCTGGCATGCTGTCAATAAACTTCTGGGCCACATCCTGACTGATGGCAGCCCAGTCTTGCATAATCAATGCTTGGAGTTTGTCAGAATTTGTGGGTTTTTGTTTGTCCACACGCCTCTTGAGGATTGACCACAATTACTCAATGGGATTAAGGTCTGGGGAGTTTCCTGGCCATGGACCCAAAATGTCGATGTTTTGTTCCCCAAGCCACTTAGTTATCACTTTTGCCTCATGGCAAGGTGCTCCATCATGCTGGAAAAGGCATTGGTCGTCACCAAACTGTTCTTG